CGACTCATAGCAACCCTATAGGAAGGAGTAGAACTGTCCCATTGGGTTTCCAAGGAGCGGCTGGTAGATTTGAATGGCCAAACTTTTGGTTAGGAACTGAGCTCTTAACCACTGCACTGCCAAGGGTCCTCTGTTACTCCATACTCCCTTTATTTACACAAATTCATTCCATAAACATCTGAGGGCCAACTGTGTTTCTAGCATCATGTTGTTGACAAAGATGAGTTCAGACTAAAACTCTTAAAATGGTGATGGTAACTCTGGTTCTTCTGGAAACCCTGGTGGAGTAGTGGTTAAGAGCTATGACTGTTAACCAAAAAGTTGGCAGTTCGAATCCACCAGGTGTCCCTTGGAAACCCTATGGGGCAGTTCTACTCTGTTCTATAGGGTTGCTATGAGTCAGAATTGACTCAACAGCAATGGGCTTGGTTCTTCTATTTTTCTAAAATATTAACACTCTTGTCCTCACATACTTTAAGAGGTATGGTATATCATCTATTTTATGTATTTTAAATATTTTTTCACTAGGAAAAGAAAAATGCTTATAGTCTTATTTCTTTGACAATTTCTGTAAAGAAGTTGTAATTTGTTGCTTAATAGTAGTAGAGAATACAGCAACATGCCAAGACCCATCATAAAGGGCCGACTTTCATAAGTACCCTGGCTGTAGGTGAATGCAACAGTTAAGTAGGGAAAAGGAGACTTGATTGGGTAATTGGATTTGGTAATTAGAAGGTTGCAGTGACCATGGGCAGATCAGTGTTAATACAATGGTGGGGGCAGAGCTCAGGTTACAAGGAAAAGAATGAATGGAAGGTGAGGCAATGAGAGAGTTTTTCTATAAGAGTAAGATGGAAGATTGAGGTGGTTTGAGGCAGAAGCAGTATAAATAAGGACGTTTTTAAGACTGTCAGTGTTAGAATGCATGCATCACTTCTGGAAAAGAAGCCCGAGGAAAGGAAGGGGAGAAATGGAAAATGTGAGAGGAGAAGTTAGGCAAATTGATGGAGCAAGATCAGGAGGAGGCAGGAGCAGATGTGTTAAGAACACAGGTGTAAGGATAATCTTAGAAAGGCGGCAGGATACTGACTCCTCTGAGCTAGGAGATGAGAACATGGAAAGGTCAGATGGTTCAGAGAAAATCTGAGATGGAAGGGAGGATATTTAAAGAGGTTCAACCCTTAAGCTCATGCTCCTATCTTTTCTAGTTAGCTGTAGAGTCAATTATTACTTCCTTTTTTCTTAGGGGCTAATATTCAGCTTATGGCATTTAACATAAGCAATAAGAAATAGGAGTTTAGATACATATAAGTTTTAGGCAAACTTCAATTTACTTAGTTTTCATTACTGAAATGTCAGTGTGTTCTATTGGAGATTATAATTTCAAAAGATAGGGAAAGATGCATTTAAGACGATATATGAAGGCTAAAATAAGTTTTAAGTTTTTGTATGCCTCAGTTTGGTGAGATGCTTTTTCTCTGGGCTTTTAGTGTAGAATTGCCCAGGTCTTACTCATAGCTACATACTAAGAATTTACAGAAATTAACATCTTCAAGATGAACCTGTCTTATTTTGTTGCTGTACCTGTACTTGAACACTTAAAGGCATTCTAAGTAGATCTTTGTGCTTCTCAGTAGTGAGTGACAGATTTGCATATGTGTGTGATTCCTGATCCTGTGGTAAATAACTGAGAACTCCTTCTAAAATCCCCGTATAGATGCTTTCTAACTTACGGGTTATGCTACAAAAATTCATGTTTCAGCTGTTTGGAACTCTCCATTTTCCAGTAGAAACAATATTATAAATGGTACTAACATCCCATACTAACCCATAAAAGACCGTTTAAAGTGTGTCTAAATTATTAAAATAATTACTGTTTATAACCATGTGTCTATCAGGAAATGCTTGAATTTCAACTTGTAAGGGTAAAAAATGTTTCTCCTCACTTCTGCTTTTTCTTACCTACCAGTATAACTGGATCTCCTCTTTTCCTCCTCCCCCTCCCCAGTTGTCTGGTAGTGAAAAAGAGGCATCTAGCTCTAAGCCACTTATGGGGTTCTTATAAGGCTCAGGAATGTGCCATTGGGATAGAGACTCTTGAAAGCTAAGGAGAGAGAAGCTGGCTGCAATGATGCTGTTTGCCTGTGAAGAGGTCTCCTTTCTGTTTCTGCTGTGAGATCTGGGCCCCTACCGTTTAAACCTCCCATCTTCTTTCTCTTTCTGAATCAGTGGTCCTCAACCAGAGGTGTCCAGTCACCTACCACATGCCTATCCCTAGGGACATCTGGCAAGGATCTGGAGATATTTTTTGGTTGTCACAGTTGGGGTGGTGCTACTGGCATCTAGTGAGTAAGGACCAGAGATGCTGATAAATATCCAACAATGTACAGGACAAAAAAAGGATTATCCAACCCAGAATGTCAATAATGCCTAGATTGAGATACTGCTGGACCATTGCTGCTGGTTAGGGTTTTTTTTTTTTTTTTCTTCTTCTTCTTGATTCATCGCAGAACAGAAATGTAGTAGTCCATGTTTTCTGATTCCCTCCTACCTTCTATTCTGGAAGCAACTTCAGAGCCCTTTTGAAGTTTTCTAAATTTTACTGTCACCACAACATGGAAATAGATGGAGTAAAAATAACAACAAAAAAAATTACAGTTTCAGGAAATCTTAATTAAAAGCTACCCATGTTATCCACTGGGCTTTAAATAGAACAAGATTTTGATCCTTCTTTAACCTTCAGTTCATTCTTTCCCCATGTGGTTTCTTCATTTCCTAGCTTCCCTCCTTCCTTGCCTATACTGTTCAACTGTGGAGAGCCTTGGCGGTAATCTTTTTCATTGTTCTTCCAAATGAGGAACGACAGAAATGAAAAGTCCTTGACTGATGGTTATTTTAACAAGGAATTAAGGGGAGGGTGCTTTATATTGCATAGATCCAACCAGAACTCTTTTCTGTTGCCCTCCTTCTTTTAAGAAATTCACAGGATGGGATCGTATCACAGCATTTCCCTAAGTACTGCTACACAGCACACGGGGGATCCTTTCTCTACCCTTCTTTCCTCCTTCACACAAACCCTCTAGGTTTATGACCAAGGCCAGTTTCATGGACAGGTGACCTTTGTGGTTGCAAAGGGCCTTGCGCTTAATTAGAAGGGCCCAATTCCTGGTAAATGCTCTATGCTGCCATCTTGAAACTGTTCATAATTTTGAGCAAAATTTTCATTTTTCCCTGCAAATTATGTAGCTGGTCCTGCATACCCCAGTATTCCCAACCAGCTTTGGGCCCAGGTGAGAGGCAGTATGGTTTGGATAAGAGGGGGAAGAGGAAGTTTTAAGATATTTGTAGTTAATTTTAATATCTTCATTATTGCAGTTATCACAGTCTATCTTGTAGAGTTGTGCTTGTTTTCCACCAAACATTAAACTCCTACAAGGCAGGGATTGTCATTTATCTTGTTAACCACCCCTGAAGCCCAGCTCAATGCTTGGCAAATGATGGACACTCAAAGAATATTTGTTGAATTTGAATTGATCCTCAAATTAGTGTTTTTTCCTAAACCATCTTGTTTTGACTTCCCCAAAAGAGCTAGAATCCCTTCATAGTACATCTTATTAAGCTCAGTGTGAAGGAGGGCAGTAATAATAAACACTATTAACTTCAGTTGCCAGGGCATCAGAATAGAGGTGTGTGTTTGTGAGTGGTTGTGAGGGTTGTGGTACGCGATCCCTGTTTCTTCCTCATCCTCTTCTTTGTATATTCCTCATAAGGCACGTTGAACAAACACCCCAAAGTTCACGTTAAATCCAAAGCAATTAAGGAAACACCACAATTGTATTTTGGATTAGTTTTACTCTCACTAAACAGATTCCATCATTCATCTCATTAAAGAAGCAGCTTTAGTAGCACCCCATCACGTCTGTCCTCTGGGACTCTAAGATGGATGAAGTATATGCAGTTAGGCTTCAGTTGACAATCACTCTCATTTTCAGTCATTTACACAAACACTTTTTAGTACCTACTATGTGACAGGCCCTGGGTTTCCAGGATAAAAGACACATAGAGAGTCCTCAGGAGTTTTTCTGGCCTGTAGTAAATGCCAAGCAGAATAGAAAAGAGATGAGACTCGAGGACAAGGACAGTGTCTTTCATACATCCTGTTGCATCCACAGTGCAAGCACTGCACATAGTAGGAGCTCAATAAATACATGTTGAATGGATGAATGGCATTAGTGAGATGTGATAGCTAATTATGAGGAGAGAGAAAAAAGAATAAAAAGGATGTAAAAATCAAAAAGCGTAACTGTCTTGGACCATTTAGTGTTTGAATAAGCAACTGTGTACTTCCATAGTCCTGGAGGGCATGAAGAGCTTTTCTGTGCCCTCACCGATGCCCAGGATGATGACCTGGGGCCACTGAGTAACTACGGCGACCCAGGCCCTGTGCAGCAGGGAGAAGGTCACTTATGAGTGTGGCATCCAGTTTAAAAAGCAGAGAAGTATGTAAGACATTTTAGAAAGGTTTCCGTTTTTAAAAAATGGCTTTTTTTCCTCTTAAATTGTGCTAAGGGGTTTTACTATCTTGGAAAAATCACATATGTGGACTAACTCTTTCCCTAATGATATTGGATAAAGGATAATATAATTTGTTTTCTTTTACCTTACAGATTATAACATTAAAATTTCATGCCAAATGAATCTTTGAAAAATTAGAAATTATATTTTTATAAAGAATTCTTTATAGTATACAGCAGTGTAACAATATATAGTACTGTAAGGGTGAATAGATTGCATAAAATAAGAAAACATGTTTTGAGTAATGTCACTTGAATGAATTATGACCTATAAAAATAATTCATGTTTGGAGTATCATCCAGCTTTTTGTAAGGAAAAAATTAGGATACTATTGAAATGATTTCAATTTCATTATTCAACAGCATCGATGCGCTACTTTCTTGTTTCAAGAATATATCTATTAACAGCACTATTTTGCCTTACAGCTTTTCTGGGAGAAGAGGCTACAAGGACTTAGTGCATCAGATGTAACAGAACAAATTATAAAAACCATGGAACTACCTAAAGGTCTTCAAGGTACTATTGAAGTTCAGCTGAGCAGATAGTTATTAAGTACCTACAGTACGCCAGGCAGTGTTAGATGCCGTGGATTCACAAATGACTGAGACAGGGTCTTTGCTCTGGGGGATCGTATGTCGTATGCCTTGCTGGATGACATACCTCTTGGTTTAGTAAACTCAGGGAATATGTACATGAAAAACTTGTATGTTCCAGTGTATTACCTAAGATTTTTTCTGTGTGAAAATGTGGCTTAAGATAGGTTCGTCATACAAGTTAACCATGTGCTACTTTCAGCAACAAATGAGGATGAGCAGCAGAATGTCCCAAGCTTTCTGCTTAAAGCAACACCTGGCCCCAGTACTTATCCTTTTTTCTCATCCTCCTGTCGAAAGAACAGCTAACAGCTCTGCTTCCACCACTCCTTCCATGAAGTGCTGCTGTAAGTAGCAGTGGCAATGGAATATGCCTTGGTCCAGTAACAGCCTTTAGTAGGATCTGGGGTGGAAAACTCAGTTGCTGGTCTACCTGTCACGCCATATATGAGCTCCACGTCCCAGGGAAGCATTATTTTTCAAGTCTTAGAACTTAGGCTTCTGAATCTTGATATATTTTGGATTGCTCAAAGCTCCTGTCTCTAACTTACAGTTAGAATATTGTCTCATCCTTTTATGTTCTTAGAAAATATTGCTTTAACTAGTTTAACAACTTCAGGACTTTAAGCACTGAATTTAAATGTGGCCATGGTGCCTGTCTCCTACAAATAGCCAAGGTGTGCAATTTTTAATTCCATTAATTTGGATATTTTGTTGTTGTTGCTGTTAGCTGCTGTCAAGTCAGTTTTGTTTGGTGTTTGAGAAAGCTATTAAGGCCGCCTGCAGCCACAACATGCTTGCAGTGGCTTTTCCATTGAAGTCCTGAAACAAAGAGATAAGCATTGAGATGTTGCTGAAAATTGATGTTAAAAGCTGCAAGGAGAGACTGCTCCAGAACCCTCAGAATACATTAATAAGGATACTTGAGTTTATTATAATGACTTTAAAAGGGACTGAAATCATTAAAATAATTGACCTTGAGGAAATGAAGCCGACTTCTTAAAAGTTTAGTACCTTGGAAAATGTATTTTAAATTTATGTTAAGGTTTTATTAAAATGTTCTGCTATTTCATTACTGTTAATTCTTTGGTGCATAATAACTATTAAGTTAATATGATGGTATTCTTTGCTGCTTTGACTTGTGTGGGTTTTAAAGATATGATTCCAAATGAATGTAAACATCTCGGTTGTTTAAAGTTGCATCAGGCTTGCTCAGTGCATCAGTAGATTTCCTTTAACTAGCGCATATTTCTAATTGCAGGAGTTGGTCCAGGTAGTAATGACGAGACCCTTTTATCTGCTGTTGCCAGCGCTTTGCACACAAGCTCCGCACCAATTACAGGGCAAGTCTCCGCTGCTGTGGAAAAGAACCCCGCTGTTTGGCTTAACACATCTCAACCCCTCTGCAAAGCTTTCATTGTCACAGATGAAGACATTAGGTAAGGCAGTTTAGCATAACTTCAAAAACTTGGTTTGTACATTTGGATAAACTTTGTACTGTCCATTAGGTTTAGCCAGAATCAACCAGAAAGCCATACTTTTTTTTTTTTTTGACAGAGCTTTTGTGAAAAGCATGAAAGGTGACTTAGGGCCTTTTTAACAAATGCACCCTTCAGAAAGGTAGAAGTGCCATGTATGAGGGGCCTCATTGCGATCACATCCAAAGGACGGGCACCAGATCCGTTGTACACAGTACGCATCATTTTTGCAGTCTGGGATTCTGACTTCTGCTCCAAAGAACGCTTTCATGCAGTCATGCCTTTTGTGTTTGCTCCCTCCATTGGTTTGTCTGCAAACCTCTCTCTCTTTAAAGCAGATCGTAGCTATGCTGCCTTAAGCCAGTTTGCATTTTCAAAGTTCAGTTTGCTTATCTTGATTATGTTTACCTCATTTACCCTCAACTTAGAGATTTATTTATCTTTACCTTGTTCCAAGTAAAGATTTAAGACACACACACACAATTGAGCGAAATGAGAAGCAAATGAGAAAGATGAACAAAGGATAAAGGAAAAAACCAGAGCGAGAAATGAGGAGAGGACACAAGATGTGTCTCTTAACATCTTTTACTCTTGTTAAGGTTGGGTCACAAACTAGGTTTTTAGCAGCAAAGAGAAAAAGAAAAACATCCAATTCAGATTTATGTTCTCCGGAAAGTATTTGCAAACCATTGCTCAGAAGAAGCACAACTATTCCAGAAGAAGACCACAAATAAATTCTCATATGGAGTTTTTGAACTTTAATATCATTTCTTTATAGTAACACTATAGTATACTGTATTTTCTTTAAAAATAGTACAGTTTGTATACTTCACTATTTCTATCCTCTGAATAAATCAAAAAAGTTTTTACAGCCGTATTATTCCTAGACAAATCCAGCAGATGGCACTTTTGAATCATAATTTTAAAATATATTTTATATTTGTATTTGATTTTTCTAAACCCATAAAAAGTTGGCATAAAAATGTTTTTAAATGCATGGGTTTAGCTAGGGTTATAATTGGAAAACCCTTTTTTAAAGTAGTTCCTTTTATAAAGATAAAATGGTTCAAAGTTGTGTTCATATGCCTTGATTGCATGGAATTTATGATCAGCTTTATTTTTAAAGAAAAAATATAAAATCAAAGAGAGAATCAGTTTGCTCTTTGGATTGTGCTTACTGTTGAGGAAGAAAATTCAGAGAAGGACCAATTCTTCTCCACCATGGAAGAGTACTGAGGTATCAGCAAGGATTCCACCAGGACTTTTTTTTTTCCCGCCTAAAAAATTTGTGTCTACTTGACTAGGCCATGATTCCCAGTACTGTGAGGTCATCTTCCTTTTTTTTTTTTTAAATTGTACTTTAGATGAAGGCTTACAGAGCAAATTAGTTTCTCATTAAACCATTAATACACATATTGTTTTGTGACATTGGTTGCCAACCCCATGACATGTTAACACTCTCCACTTCTCGACCTTGGGTTTCCCATTACCAGCTTTCCTGTCCCCTTCTGCCTTCTCATCCTTGCCCCTGGGCTGGTGTGCCCATTTAGCCTTGTTTTGTTTTAGGGGCCTGTCTAATCTTTGGCTGAAGGATGAACCTTAGGAATGAATTCAGTACTGAGCTAAAAAGGTGTCTGGTGGTCATATTCTCCAGGCTTCTCCAGTCTCTGTCAGACCAGTAAGTCTGGTCTTTCTTTGTGAGTTAGAATTTTGTTCTACATTTTTCTCCAGTTCTGTCTGGGACCCTCTATTGTGATACCTGTCAGAGCAATCGGTGGTGATAGCTGGGTACCATCTAGTTGTGCCGGACTCAGTCTGGTGGAGGCTGTGGTAGTTGTGGTCCATTAGTCCTTTGGACTAATCTTTCTCTTGTGTCGTTGTTTTTCTTCACTCTCCCTTGCTCCGGACGGGGTGGGACCATGGAGTATCTTAGATAGCCGCTCACAAACCTTTAAGACTCCAGACTCTACTCACCAAAGTGGGATGTAGAACATTTTCTTTATAAATTATGTTATGCCAATTGAGCTAGATGTCCCCCGTGTCCACCTGGTCTTTATGGGTGTTGACTGAGGTTGTCTGAGTGATACATGAGAATGCTGATGGCTGCAGCACCACATCTTTTGATTCTAGAGGAAACGATCTCAAAGCGAGATCTGGATGATTTCCTTTTAGGGTAAACTTGTCTAACAAATTGTTCATTTGGTTTAATTATCATAAAAGAAATTTTTCAGCAAAGATTTCTTGCTGAATTAGTACAGATTCAAAATAAATTGCCGCAAATAGAATTGTTACTCTTTTTCTAATTGCATAGCCAGTATTCTGTTTATTTTAAACCTCCAACTAAAGATCCCCACGTTAGATATATATATTTTCAGCATATTTGATCATATTTTTCTCCGCAGGTATATTTATTTTCTAATACTGTGTAACAAATTGTAAAAAAAACTTAGCAGCTTAAAATAATACCTATTTTTAGCTCACAGTTCTGTAGGTCAGAAGTCTGCACACGGTGTGACTGGGTTCTCTCTCAGGTCTTGCACAGGGAAATCCAAGCGTCAGCTGGACTGCATTTCTTTCTGGAGCTGGGGTCCTCTTTCAAGCTCACAAGGTTGTTGCAGAATTCAGTTCCCTGCAGTTCTAGGACTGAGGCCTCTGTTCTCTTGTTGGCTATAAAATGGGGCCAACTCTCAGCTCCTAGAGGCTGCCCGTGGTTCCTTGCCGCATGGCCCCTTCCTGATGCTTTCTTACGCTACTTTCAGGAAGGGCCTAGTCTCTTTTAAGGGCTGTCCCTATTAAGTCATGCCCATTAGGATAATCTTTCTTTTGATTAATTCAAGGTCAATTGATTGGTAACATAGTCTTAGAATGATATCTCTTCATATTCACAGTTTCTCCCTGCACTTTTGGGGGTGGGGATGAGACAAGGAATGTATATCAGGAGCAAGAATCTTGGGGGCTTAGAATTTTTCCTACCACAATGGGTAAATTCCTTAGTTTCTGCTCTCATAAATATGGAAAGTAATGCTCAAGGTAAAAGAATATCAACAGCAATTGTTAGACTTTCAGATATACTTCTCTAACCAAAGGCTCCATTCCCTCTATTTTTCCTATCTTTCTAATGGGATCACTCTCAGGCAGTTGTGCAGACTCTAGCACTTTGTTATTAGGTATGAGGGACTGCCACTGAGACTTATATTCCATTTGTCATAGCTTTGAGTCTCTGAGCCAAAGGCAAAACAAAATACTTTCTTCTTGACCCTGCTCTGTCATATGAGAATGTATTGAGTTCTAGTTTCTTCTGATATGACAGAGGCTACTGAACTCAGGCAGACTAAGTAACAGCTCCCCTGTTTTTGAAGATCCATTTAAAAAGTAGAAGTCTATACCTCTTAATTAACTCTTTGTCCTGTTTTGGGAGTTTAATAAAGATGATTTCTAAAGTTTTTATGGCTTCATAACATATGTGAACTTCACTGCCTTGGACACTGGATCATTGTATAAAGAGAAATGTTTGCAGGAGTATGTATAGTCAAGGTAACTCTACAGCTGCTTCAACACCCAGGGAGTGACTCTTCATGAATCTTAATGGAGTCATCCATAACATTACTCCCCTACCTTTCTGTCCAAGTTTGTGACAGTGCTGCTCTCTCTCTTCCTCAATTATTGATAGAGAAAGATGACTTTTCTTTAGGGGCACTCTTGGTATTCCTCCTTGCATCACTTACTCGTCAGTGAACTGCTCCATCTCCCACTCTGCATCCATCCTCCCCTCTGGTCTCAGGAGATGAACCATCTTGTTGTCTTTTCACAGCTAACTACCTACCTGTGCCTCTGCCTCTCTTCCTTCCTTGTTTTATCTAGGACCTTTATTTACCAGTCTTCTCCCTTCTCTTGTGTTTCTGACCCTTGCTTGGCTCTGGATATGAACTTTTATTTACCGCGCTTTGCTTGCTAGAACTGTCGTAGTCATCCCTTTCGTGCTGTGCCCGGGAGCGCTCTCAAATTTGTTCAGCTTTTTAAATTTAAATTGTATGCCAATAGCCTTTTTCCTATGCTTTGTTTCTCAACTAAAACAAAACAAAACAAGACAAAAAAAACAACCCCTTGCCATTGAGTCAAATTTCAAGTCATAGCGACCCTGCAGGACAGAGTACACCTGCCCCATAGGGTTTCCAAGGCTGTAATCTTTATGGAAGCAGACTGCCACATCTTTTGCTCACAGAGTGGCTGGTGGGTTTGAACTGCCAACCTTTTGGTTAGCAGCTGAGCACTTAACTACTGCACCACCAGGGTTCCTTGTTTTTCAACTAACAGTTTAGAATCTTCTTTATTTCTTTTTTTAATGATTGGAGTTTTTAACTCTCACTTTTGAGATCCTGTTGCAATCCTCAAGACAGGGAAACTTCGATGCTTGGGATGTAGAATACTTTGAGTAGTGTGTGCTTAACCTACTCAGCTCATCTCAGTGGAAGAGATCTTTTCAGTCTCTGTCCTTGGTATCCAGGATCACATGGTCTTGGTTCCTTCATGATGACCTGTAGGCCTGAGAACTCAGGAGAGAGCTCTGACTGGCTTTCCCCTAGCACAGCCATAGAATGGCCAACCAAATCCCAGCTTATTGTGCCTTTGTTTCCTCCATCTTTCTCAGTGCTTTGTTGCACAAGTCTCTCTTCCTTCTTTATTCTTCATTCTATCCCTGCTTCTAAGTTATTTCTAATTATCCTTTATAGGAATAACAAAAAAAAACCTTCTTCTACTTGAAATTCTTGAAGTTGAGGAAAAGGTCACTGAAATCTATTCCTACCAGAATTCTCTGTGAGATAAGGGGTAACTGCTTGTCTGAATATCCTCTTTGGCAAGGCTCGTGTCCTGTGTGACTTATTTTTGTGAGAGTGTAGAAGCAATCTTTGGAAAGTCTGAGAAGTGTATTTTTTTTTAAGGAATTTAATAACTTCTGAAGTAAAGATAAAACTTTAGTGGTGGCTTCCTATTTTCCCTACTGGCCAAATTTTTAGTGCCTTTTTATTCTGTTTTTCAAAAGGAAACAGGAAGAGCGAGTACAACAAGTGCGTAAGAAACTGGAAGAAGCTCTGATGGCAGACATCTTGTCACGAGCTGCTGATACAGAAGAGATGGATCTTGAAATGGACAGTGGAGATGAAGCCTAAGAATATGATCAGGTAAACTAAAATTATAGGAAAAGAAAGACCTGGAACTTAGGATGTTTTATTTTCTCGTTATTTCCCCTCTATATCCTATCTGGGCAGTGAATAAAAAGGCCTCTTCTTTGTGATCATCAGACTTGTCCCACTATAGGTTACATATGCATTGTTGTCTGGCCCTCTCTCTGTATTTAAAGCATATAAATTATTGAATCCTCTTGTTCTCATTATGAGAACATTCACATCCCAGCAACCCCTTACAAGGAATGTAGCTTCCTTTATGAAAACCAAACAGAAAACCTCCAAGGTGTTACTGGAGAAAAGCTCTGGAGGAAGGAAAGGACTGTGCCAGGTAGGGAAGAATGGCCACCCTCATAGTCCAGACTGTCCCTTCGAGTGTCCCCTCTCTCTGAAGGTGGCTGTTGTCTCCACCATACTAGCTTTCTGGGGTATGCTGTCCCCTCTTTAAAATTATGGCCCCAAAGCAGGCAAAATCCCTCCCTTTGGCCAGGTTCCCCTTAGCACAGACTTGGTGCAGGGAGAACAAGAAGGATGGAGTTATTTAGAAGTATAATAAATAGTTTACCTTAAAAAATTTTTTTTGATCCTATAATTTTTTAAGTTTACTTAAAAAAAATAATAAACTCACATACAAGACTCGTTCCATTTGGGGATATATTCCCTGTAGATGATAACACTCAAATCCCCAAGGGCTTATGTAGCATCTTACTTCCCAACTTGTACCCTGCTTTGTTGTGGCAGGCATCGTCTTACCTTCTGCACCCCATAAGCTGATTATTTATTTTTTCCTTTGAAGCCAAAACTGAGGAGAAACAGGAGGAGGGAAAGAAAAAAAAGAGAAAGAGATTGAGAGAAAGAGATGAGAAGAGAGAGAATTCTAACTCTGTAGTTCTCTTAGAAGCCTTCTTCCTGGTCGCTTTCAGTCTGGTGGACGTGCGCCGCATCCTGGTAGTCATTCTCACGTTCAGTGCTAGTTGCAGGGGATACAGTGTTGAACACACCCATCCAGTCCCTGTACCCACAAAACTTATAGTGTAGTCATATTAAACAAACACTTACCTAGCTATAGAATTACCAGCTGTGATAAGTACTATAAAGAGAAAATAAAGGTGCTGTGAGAGCTGATAGCAGGGGACCAAATGTGGCTTAAAGGGTTAACTAAATAAAGCCCCTCTGAGGTGTGACTTTTACCTTGAGCCTTGAAAGGTGAGTAGGAGTGAGTCAGGGGAAGTATGGGTAAAAAGTGTTCCATCAGAAGAAACAGCAAGGCAAAGCTTGGTTCCTTTAAGGAGCTAAGAAAAGAGCAGTGTGGTTAGAGTGTAGTAAGTGAGGGGAATGTGTGGGAGATGAACCTAATCATGCAGGGCCTGTGGGTCATCGCTAAGGATTTTGTGCTTTGTCATTAAAACCAGTGCGAATCCATGAAAGGGTGAGCAACATGACTGGATTTGCTTATTTAAAAGATCTGTGTGGCTGTTTCAGGGGGAAAAAAAAGGATTGGAGTAGGGAAAGCTTGGAAGCTGGAGACCAGTGAAGAGGTTATTGTGGTAGGCCAGCAAGAGATGATAGCAGCGTCACAGGGTGTTGGCAGTGGATGTGGCAGAAAGAGGAAAGGGTAGAAATGTATTTGGAGGTAGAATCAACTTGACCAGGTAATTGGACATGAAGGTGAGAGAATGGCCAGGACGACCACTGGGTGAATGGTAGTCCTGTCTGCTGAGATGGGAAGACTGGCTGAGGAGCAGATTGGGGTAAGGGGTGCAGGGAGGATGAGTTTAATTGTTAACACAATCTTCCCTTTCCATGAGTGCCTTTTTCTTAATTCAGGGAGTAGCTCATGCCACAATGACGCACAACCAGGTAATTAATATAATGTCCTACATTTCCATGTTCAGCAGCAGCAGCACCATTTGGTCACACAGGAGCATGTGAATCTAGTTCAGTACTGCTGCCATTCTTTTTTCTCCTGTCTGAGTACAGGAAGATGATACGTTGACAATTATAATTTTGTTTTCCACTCTGACAAGGGTGTGTTTTACCGGCTTTGATGAATGTGCTCAGTATGTGTAAAGTCTTTCAAAGAGACGTCTGAAGCTTGCTTTTGTTTTTTTGGTATGTTTATTTTTTTTTTATCAGAATTGACTCTTGAAAAGCCCTTCTTTTCTCTTGGAGCTTTTTAGCCTTCCCCTCCACCCACTCTCCCGAGACTTTTCTCCTGAAAACAGATGAGGATAATCAAGGGCCATCTAACTGAGGCTTTACTAGACCCTGACTCTGCAGACTGACATCAAGGCCACACTCTAACTTATGTCAGCAAGCATGTGTTTTAGACACTAGACACTTTGTTCTTATAAAAACTGACAGTTGCTCACTGCCTTGAACAAATATGGGTAATGGTAGTAACAAACTAGCTAACACTGGGTGATTAATTTTTATTGATTGTTAAAAACTAGCCGTTATTTTGGCATGTTGAATATGGAGATACTCATATTATGTATGTTGTACACTAAATTTGAGAATGGCTTTAGTATTACTAGGCCATCAGACTTACAGATTGTAGATGATTTAGAAGTACTTCTTAATGATAAAAATTACATTTCCCTGACTCACTCAGTTTGGCCCCATATGCCCTTAAAGTGTTTAATAAGCTAGAGCACTGCCACATGACTTAATTAGATATTCCTAATAACCTGTAGAATAGGTAGGACAGCTTAGCTTGGAGAAGGGTGGGGCATTGCCAAGTTCACATGGCTGGTAAGAGATGAAACCTGAGTCTTCAGGTTACAGTTCTGTTCACATCTGGCCACTCATCACGTTCCTTCTAATGCTACTAATTAGCAAGGTGGACTTTTAAAAAATATATATAATAACTGGCTGAGATTTACTGTGTTACTTAGGTTCTACAATTTTAGAGAAGTACCCAGGTTATCTGACAAATATTTTAGGAGTGATTGCAAGAAATAGATAACTATAAAAGACAAAGATGTTAAAATACATAGCTATGAATGAGATGTAAGTATTGAATACAGAGTTTAATTTATAATTGCACAGTACCATTTGATCCAAGTTAAACATCTATCATCTGTAAATGCTCGAAAGTAAAATAAAATAAATCTTTGTGAAGTAAAATAAATCCTTGTGAATAGAAACTTTCCTAAATTTTTTTTAAAGTATGTTTGGATTTGGCTGTATCAATTATGTTTTTTTATTTGTATCCCCTTTGCTTTCTCTTTTAATGCTGATTTAGTTCACTGTAGATAGAAAATATTTACATAAGCATACAAAGGAATACATCAATGGGTATTAAACGTTGTTATCAGAATAAAACACTTGAAACAATGAGGGGACAGGCTGGGAGCTTTTTATGTGCTAAGTGATGTAACTAAAAGCTGCGCTGATGAGAATGCTAATTAAGGCTTTAAAAGCATATGGTTCTAAGTGAAATTTAGTTTCGAATTACTTTTTCAAGCTTTGCAGACCTCTTAGCAGGGAAATCACTGAATTTATTTTTGTTTGTTTCCTTACAGGTAACTTTCGACTGACTTTCCCCAAGAGCAAATTCCTAGAAATTCAACAAAAATGTTTCCACTGGGTTTGCTTTGTAAGAAAAAATGAACCCGAACATATAGAGCTTTTTAATAGCACTAACCAATGCCTTTTTAGATGTATTTTTGATGTATATATCTATTATTCAAAAAAAAAATGATGTTTATTTTGAGTCCAAGGACTTAAAAGTAGTCTTTTTTAATATCAAGCAGAACCCTTCAAATGAAGCTGAGCTTTTGATGCTAGGTGCAATCTACTAGAAAAGCAGCACTTACATGAAATATTTGTTTCCCGCCCCCCCGGTTTTAATATGAATGGATCAGGAGCACCAAATAAATTTCCCAATTAAAGATTATTGTGACTTCACTGTATATAAACAGATTTTTATACTTCTATTGAAAGAGGACACCTGTACATTCTTCCATCATCACTGTAAAGACAAATAAATGATTATATTCACAGACTGATTGGAATTCTTTCTGTTAAAGAGCACACACAATAAATAGACCTCCTCTCCATTAGAATTCCTGATTTACATTCAGCTTTGATCCTTGGGCCTTAGGTTTGAAGTGGAGGTGGTGGAAATAGTTCATACTTTTGCAGTATGCCTCTGGATAGATATCATGAGAATTGTGCTGCTTTCACCAAAATTTCTAAGTTGTCATCTAGCATGTGCAATTTTTTTTTCCTCGCCTGTGACTAGTACTTCTGATCGTTCTACAAAAATAAGCTTTTAAGCTTTTTTCTTTGCTTGGACATGAGTAAGGCACACAAGTACCACTTGGATGCTACTAGAAGTTCGTGTTTGTTGTTTTTTCCCAGAACATTTTGCACTTTCTAATGTTCACTAGCTTACTGAGATAACAGATGAAGGTCAAACCCTTTGCTACAGAGAGAGGCGGCTTCTAGGCAGAGTTGCTTGATGAATCAGCTTGTAATACTTTGCTAGGCAGTACCTGGCCCCCAAAGTATTAACTTTTTTTTTTTTTTCTGTTGAAATTCATAGGTGTAACTTCCATTACTGCTTAAATTCCTTACTATTTAATTACTAAAACTGGCGTAGCATTGTTAGGTGAGTTTTTTTTTAATCAAAACGTACTTAAATTAATCTGATGCCGAGGAAGGGAGAAGGTGGTTATAAGCAAATTCAAGCAATTTTTGAGGAATAGAGCACAAAGAAGATCTTTCTATAGGAAGGATTTATGTGTTTCTCCTTAACTTTGAGTTCTTTTTAAATTAGACCCAGAAATGATGTGGTCAAGGAGGTGACCAATTCCACATCACTGTCACCTGCATATTTTATTTATTGTGACTACCTCCAACACCCTTCCAGTCCCCAAGGAAGGGAAATAGTCAAAGCTATATGACTGGCTAGGTTTGGGCTGCTATCTGTCTATGCCAAACTATATAAATAGCCCCTTCTTGGAATTCCTGATTTACATTCAACTTTGATCCCTGGGCTGTAGGCTACCAACTTCCTTGGAGCAGTCCTGCTGGCGAATGAACAGGGACACTTGCAGGCTCTGGGAGGGCTAATGGCAGAGAGACTATTGGTGCCCATCAGACTGTCCCAACTGGGGTGAGGTGGGGCTTAGTGTTGACTTACTTTTAAGAGCTGGTAAAACTACTTAGAATGGACATCCAAAGGCTTTTCTCATCCTCCCCAAGTCAATGACTCTTCATTCGTAACCAGGCTTGGGATAACTTCACCTTGGTGGCTGTACATTGTTTTTGCAAAGCAGTCCAACCAAGATACCCATGCTCTTGTCAGCAGCTTTTGTAAAAACAAAAACACATCATACAAAGCTTTGATTTTTTTTCCCTCATATCCTTTGCTCAGGTGGAGAACAAGGTATGAAAGCCATTACATGGTGTCCAACTGGGGACCATCCCATAAATCCAGAGTGTTCCCAATATACCCTAGGGCAACATGTCCCAAATGAAATTCATCTTATCCTCACAAACCTCCCACCATCTTACATTCTCTGACTCAGGTAAAAACAAATCACCATCTTATCCAGTTGCCCAAAGCAGAAAAGCCCAGGAGTCATCCCAGATGCTGCCTCCAACATCCATCCCACCAATCCTGTTAGAATCATTGACTGCACTTCTCACCGATGTCTGTCTTCTCCATTCCCACAACCACTACCCTCAAGGGAGCCTCGTTTCCTCTCTGGACTTTCAGTGGCCTCCTCAGGGGGTTCTCCATGTCTACCTGCCCACTGTCGTCTTGCCTTTCACTTTGCCTCTCCATTCCTCCTTTTTCCTCCTCCATTTAGTCGTCAGAGTGATTCTCTAAACAGGCAAACGTGACCTTATCATTGCCCTGCTCAACATTTCTCACTTATCTCCTTACGCAGTTTAGGATAATTCTTAAGAGCAAGCACTTTGAAACTAGGAGAACCTGTGTTTGAATCCTGGTCTTGCCATTTGTGTGACTTGTCAGGTTACTTAATCTCTTTGAGCCTGTTCCTCCTCAGTGAAATAGGAATTATAATACCTACCTCATAGAGTTGTTGTGAGGATTAAATGAGATACTGTCTATAACGTTTCTAGCACAGTGCCTGGCGCATAGTGAGTGCTCACATTGTGGCACGTCGTTGTTATCCCTGCAGGTGTCAGTTTTATGTCACTTCAAGAGACATTTGCTGATCATCCTAAATCCTCCCTCCAACACTTTACTTTCTGCCACAGCACCTGTTTATTTCCTTCATAGCAATTTTCAAAATCTGTATTTTTTGTTGACTTTTTGTCTGTCTCGCCTTTAGAATGTAAGCTCCATGGGAGCAAGGATGTATCTATCTTGTTCCCTGTTATAGCCCCAGCGCTTAGCGCAGTGCCTGGCACATAGTAAGCACTCAATAAATATTTGTTGAATAAATGGAAAAATGATCAAAAGGCTCCTCATGATCTGATACCTACCTACTTGGCTTCATCCTATTGTACCTTTGGCTCAAGAAAAACTGCATTACTTGCTCCTAGGAAGTGCCCACTGGGGCCTCCATGTCCTTGCACAAGCTATTCCTTTTGCCTGAAACAACCTCCTCTTCCAGTCTGCACAGCAAATTCCTGATCATTGGTTAAGTCTTAGTTCTATGGCTACCTCCTCTGTGAAGCTGTCTCTGAGTTCTCTAGGCAGATAGTCTTTTCCCTCTTCTAAGTTCAGATTGCACTTTGTAAATACCTCCTTGGAAGCACTTTACTGTATTGTATTGTAAAATTTTTTTTGCATGTCCATTTCTACTATTAGACTGTAAGCACCATGAAAGCAGAGATTGCATCATTTCATCCTAATGTCCCCAGCGCCTAGCACAGTGCCTGGCACATAATAGCTTGTCAATAAATACTTGTTCAATGAGTTCCTGAATGAAGTTCCATGCAGTTGGAAAAGTGTTGTAAGATGTATGTATTATTGAGGAAAGGAGCTCCCTAGTTGCTTCTAGAATATTTTTTGTTCTAGAGAGGAAATCTAGAAAGCGTTATGTAATTTCTTTGAATATAAGATTACTTGTTTAAATTAAAAAAATAATAAGTTGAATAATATAGATCTTCATAAAATGACTGCAAAAGATATCAAAAAGCTTTGTGATCTCTCAAATGCTACAAAGTCCAAAATAAATATTTGCACTATTAGTATTTCCATAGTCAATGCTATAAGAAAATATACAGCAATAAATTTTGAAGCTTTAAAAAATGTTTGTGTAAGTCATCTTCAATGACTTAATTTATGAAGAATGTCTTTGGCCTATGTTTCCCGGATACAAGGAGCTTCAGACTGGGTTGTAAGGTCCCCAAACCTTCAGAGCTTATGCAGTGACACTCCTCTTCATTTCCGAGATGGTTGGGCAATCATTCTGCCAGCATTTCTAGTAAACCAAAAGGACTGAAAGGTCCCCACAGAATCAGGTGGAAGCCATGCTAGATCTCATGAAGCTATATAGCCTCCAAATCTTCAGGGCTGCCATAGCTTCCTCTCCCCCGCTGCCTTCATTCCTGGGATGCATACAGGACCCCTATACAAAATGTCCTTCAGTTGCCTCTACAAGTCCACAGGTGGGGCAGGGAGCATCAGTTACAGAAGGAGGCTGGGAATAGCTGTGGGATTGGGAATTGGAGCAGGGGGCAATCAGTCTGCATGTCTCAAAGGGGCTGGGTGGACTTGAAATTTTTAAGTCACATACTGATCTTCCCTATAAGGGCACCACTAAGTTTTCTGTAATAGTTGCTTTTTCAGTAATTTAGCTTTTGTTTTTATGGCGAGGACAAATGTTTTTATTTCCTCTCATACAGCATTTTGTAATTTATAGAACACTTTTACCTCCATTAATGCCTTGTTTGAATTTTAACCTACATATCAACCATGGGATATGCATATACTATTATTATCCCCATTTCAGAGTTGAAGACTCTGAGAACCTGGCAGGTTAAATGACTTACTCAAATCAGTGAGGTACAGAGGGGAATTTGAGTGTGTAGGTCTTCTGGGTCTAGGTCTTGTGTATTTTCTAGAACACCACGCAACCTTCCAACCCCCCACTCAGGTCTCAAGCTGCCTTTCTGTCTGCGATGTGATAAACAGTTTGGTTTATCAAGTACAGTATGACTATGGCCTGAAGGCTTTTATAGGAAAGAGTGATTCTTTATAGGAAACCTGGTCCTTTCATGTGTGAATAGTCAAAGCTGTTCCAGTGAACATTTCCGCTGAGAAATCTTTAGTAGGATTATTTATCTTATATAAAAGAGGTGGAACAGGTGCAGCTTCTTAATCACAGAATGTTGGGAGTTATTTTTATCTGGGGGCTAGCATTTTCTTTCTGCTGCAGTACTTTCAGCTTTTGACTTCCTTAATTTGATGCTCTGAGAAGGCTTGGCAGCAAGATGTGACTCGACCCTCGGCCCTGGGGTGAGGGTTTTCAAAGTGAGGTGCATTCATCTTCAAAGTGAGGGGCATGCACCTCAGGGGATGTGTAGAACTATTGGGGGAGTAGAAAATGCTTGTCCTTTTAATATTTGTTTTTCATCTCCTCTGTGATTTTAATTTTTGAGTGTTTTATTATGTACATAATATATTAATAGTGTCATACATGTATATAATCTATCAATAAATATTCATAAATTTGGCATGTGTGCTTTGGTTTTGAAAGGATGTATTATTAAGAGTTTTGAGACTACTTCCCCAGGGCAGGACTCCTTATCTGGGGTTCAGGTACCTCTGGAGTCATCCTCTGCCATTGTATGCAAAGTTTTGTGACTATGTGCCCTTGTCTCGGGGTAGTGTCCACTGCTTCTGTAAAATTCTCAATAGGGAATATGTATCAAAAAAGAAACACTGAGGGGACTATGTATCTAAAAAGTTCAAGAAACACTGGTCTAATTTTCATTCCACTCATCAAGGCTTGGGCTGGTTTGGGCTTGCACATACAAATTCAGATAACCTGTAGCTTGGTTTTCCATTTTGATTTAA